GGGAGTTCGCTAGGCATAGGAGGCAGCAGAGAGCCCTGCACCTGCCCCTCCCCCTGTAGGCTTTGAAGGAGGCCCAGGCAGTGCTGGTCCATGGTGGGAGTCTTGGCCCCCTAGGCAGGTAAATGTGGATTCAAACAAACCTGCTATCTTTAGCAAGACACATCCGTGAAGGGTAATATTACACATCTCCAGCTTGGATGATTAAACCAAATGGAAGGGTAGTGTTTTACCATTTCAGTGATAACAAAGATCATCCAGAATCAGGGGGACGAATGGAGAAGAAGCCAGCAGGCCTTATCAGGGTCCCGACAGTCCCATTCCCAAAGCGGGATCCTCAGTCTTAGCGCTTATTCTACTGTTGAGAAAAAGTGCAGATGGCTCCTTGCTCCCACCACATCCAGCCCCCAAATGGCAGTCCTGATTCCATTCTGGACTCAAAGACACACAGACACAAAGCAAGTCATGGTACACGGTCCTCCGTGGCTCCCCCACATGCCCACCCCATGTGCCCTTTCATTCTGTCACTGCCCTGGCGAGCGATTGGTCTCAAGGACAGACAAGCCGCAGGCTGGGGATGTGACTCCATGACCGAGCATTTGCCCCAAGGGTGAAGTCCTGGGATACATCTTCCAGTGCGTACACATACACACACACACACATAGACTTGGAAAAGATAGAGTGACTTGTAAAAAGACACACCAAGGAAAATTGGAATTTCATCAGGGCACAATACAGGGACAAAAGCAGTTCATCCAGCCAGAATCCTCATCCCTGGTTGGTTAACCAAGATCATTTAACTAGGAAACATCTACAAAAGAGTTAGGATTCCCCTTAGAGAAGGAAGATGGGGCCTTGTTTCCTCACCCTCCTGTCTCCCTGTTCTTGCAGTACAGGGACTTGGCCAACTACAACGACAACAGCACTGAGAGCCCCCTGGAAAATCACTTCTGCTCCACCGTTGAGGGACCCCTGCTGACCTCCTTCAAGGCCGTGTTCATGCCCGTGGCCTACAGCCTCATCTTCCTGCTGGGTCTGATGGGCAACATCCTGGTGCTCGTGATCCTGGAGCGGCACCGGCAGACACGAAGCTCCACCGAGACCTTCCTGTTCCACCTGGCGGTGGCTGACCTCCTTCTGGTCTTCGTCCTGCCCTTTGCTGTGGCTGAGGGCTCTGTGGGTTGGGTCTTGGGGACTGCCCTCTGCAAAACAGTGATTGCCTTGCATAAGCTCAACTTCTACTGCAGCAGCCTGCTGCTGGCCTGCATCGCCGTGGATCGCTACCTGGCCATCGTCCACGCTGTGCACACTTACCGCCACCGCCGCCTCCTCTCCATCCACATCACCTGCACCACCATCTGGCTGGTGGGCTTGCTCTTCACTCTGCCGGAACTCCTCTTTGCCAAGGTCAACCAACCTCATCACAACGAGTCCCTGCCAAGCTGCACCTTCTCCCAAGAGAACCAGGCTGAAAGCAGAGCGTGGTTTGTCTCTCGCTTCCTCTACCACGTCGGGGGCTTCCTGCTGCCCATGCTGGTGATGGGCTGGTGCTATGTGGGGGTGGTACACAGGCTGTGCCAGGCCCAGAGACGCCCTCAGAGACAGAAGGCCGTGAGGGTGGCCATCTTGGTCACGAGCATCTTCTTTCTCTGCTGGTCACCTTACCACGTTGTCATCTTCCTGGACACCCTGGCAAGACTGAATGCCGTGGATAATAGCTGCGAGCTGAATGGCTATCTCCCTGTGGCTATCACCATGTGCGAGTTCGTGGGCCTGGCCCACTGCTGCCTCAACCCCATGCTCTACACGTTCGCTGGCGTGAAGTTCCGCAGTGACCTAACTCGGCTTCTGACCAAGCTGGGCTGTGCCGGCCCCGCCTCCCTGTGCCAGCTCTTCCCGAGCTGGCGCAAAAGCAGTCTCTCTGAGTCGGAGAACGCCACCTCCCTCACCACCTTCTAGGTCCGGCGGCCACCTTGGTTTTTGCTTTCCTGGGGCATGCGGAGAAGCTGGAAGGCCAGAAGCCAGAAGCAGCTGGCTCCCAGGAGCCCCTTGGGCCAGCATCCTCAGGTGGAGCCAACCAAGATCATTGTGCTCAACAGCAAACCAAAGGTGGCATCCCCTTGGGCTGTGCACCATCTCCACCCAACCAGCCACAATCTCAAGAACCCATTTTACTGCTGTCCTGGCCATAGGGAAGGCTGTTCCCTCCCAGAATACACTTCGTTACTGAAACCATTGACCCTGCCCTATTATCCAGACAGATGCCAGGCACGACTTCAGGTGTGTGCGTCCCTGCTTGCCCTGCAGGGAGGACAGTCCACTTACGCCTGCGCATCAGCATTCTGTTGTGGGCCCAGCCGGATGGGCCCTGACGGCCTTCTCACTAACCTCTGCCTCCCGCTTGAACCCATAAAAGGCCCAACTCCTGCCCCCCGACCTGCACAACCTCCAACCCATGGAAAGGTTGCTGCCCCTTGCTGTCATGCCTCAATAAACAGTCCTAACCTGCCGAAGATCACGTCCAGCCTCTTCCTTTACCTTTTTCCTTTTGGCTCCTTTTACCTCACGTGTGGTGCTGAACCTCGGCAGGGGAAAAGCACTAGGACAAATGGGGTCCCCCCCACCCACCTCTTATGGAGCCTTGTGCTTCCCTCCCTCTCTTCCTGAGGCCTCTCTTCCACCAAGAGCACAGAGTCCCCTGTGCCTCTTTCTCCTCCATCTTCTCTCTCTTCTGTCCTCGGACTCTTGACCTCCAGGCAGGAGGCCCTTCCCTGTTTGACACACTCTATGCACCACTCCAAAGCCTTCAGGACAGGTAGCCAGCCGTTGTCTGTGGCAGAGGTGCCCTGACATGGACCTGGGGACTCCAGGAGTCCCTCCCTTCCTGTCTGGGGTCCCCTGAGACTCTGGGATTCTCTCATACTTTGTAGACCCCCCTAACACCTTTTAATTGGGACTTTGCAGAAACCCTCTCCTAATTATTGGGATCCATCCGTTTGTTTTCCCAAAGCTTTGGGGATACCTAAAGTGGTGGGAAGTTCACTCCACAGTCCTACCAAATTTTCCAAAATGGGTTCCAAATTGTCTCCCAGAGACACCCCATCGGCTTGCTTGCACTCTAATGTTAAGACTCTTGGGCTGAATGATTTACAGTCAAAGAAAACTGACTTGTTTGTCTACCGAAATCTGACCTCACTATCATTTAAACAATGACCACTGTTGGTTTGAATTCAGAACCTTTTATTCTTACTGATTTAAACAATTCTCCAATAAAACAGCAAAGGGTCAGAGACTGCCTCCACCCAAGCATCCCTCTGCCTCCTCTCCAGAGCCTCCTGCTCATCCTGTTCTACCTACCAAGCCCTCCTCTACCCTTGCTCCAGACTCTCCTCCCCACCCAACCCATCCTGCTCTGTTCACCAAGCCCTTCTCTGCCAACAACCTCCCAGCCATCTCCTCTAAAGGGTAACGCTTTAACTCCTTTTTTCCTTTTTCTTTTCTTTCTTTTTCTTTTTTGCTAGTCCTGGGGCTTGAACTCAGGGCCTGAGCACTGTCCTTGAGCTTCTTTTGCTCAAGGCTAGCACTCTACTGCTTAGGCCACAGCGCCACTTCCAGCTTTTTCTATTTACATGGTACTAGGGAATCAAACTCAGGGTTTCACGCTAGACAAGCACTCTACCACTAAGCCACATTCCCAGCCCTTTTTACCTCATTTTTAACTTCTCGTTGTCTTGTAGCAGCTCAGTTTGTCTCCCTCCTTTCTCCCTCCCTCCCTCCTCCCCCCCCAACAACCTCTAAACCGGAGATTATTTGTCATCAAATCACCCCCATTCCAACTGACAGTTCTTCAGCTTGTGCCCTTGACAGTGAGATGCAAACTGGGTCCCAGGGACCCCCTCTAGGTTCCCTCGTGAAGGCTAGCTGTCCTGGATCAGAGGCGCCCTAAGCCCAAGTCTTTTCTCCTTCCTTGCTCTTGTAACTACATTCTTCCCCTCTGCAGTTGGAAAAACTGTCCTCTAAATAAACTCTGTGGACCTTTGCCCCTGTGCCTGCCTGTCTGTGTGGCTGATACAAGGTGGGAATGGGCAAAGCCTCCAAAGGTAAGTTGACTTTCTCTGTCTTGTAAATGTAGTCACATCAACAGGCTAACAGCCTGCTTGAACTCCAAAAGCTAAAGCAGAACCCCCCAAAACATCCCAACCAGAACTACTCAATGAGAGGTCCCCTGAGCTGCTTCTCCTTGATGCCCAACCTTCTACAAAACTTCCCCTAACAGAAGGCCTTACACTATCTATACTGCCCTCTCCATAGTTCTAAGCAACCCTTCTCTCTTTGTTACTAACTACTCGCTCTCTAACTCCACAGAACAGACAAATTATATTCTCTACCATCGCCAATCCTTGGGAAAAGAAGAGAGAGTTAACAGAACCTTTAAGGAAAAAATGCCTCTGCTCTGGCTCTTTTGCTAGTCTATCACTGACTGTGGCTGGCTGGCTAACATACAACTTCTCTCTTACTTCTCTCTACTTTTCCTACCCCCAAAAAAATCCAATAATGGGAGCAGGTAGACTAACAGTATACCACAAACAAACCCATCCTTTTTGTCTTTGGAACTCAGACAATAATCTATTCTTTTTCTCTTTCCTGAATCCACTTACTTCAGAATCTTCTCCCTGAAGGTAAAATTCCTTCAGGAGGCTACTAAAGGCCCACTTGAAAATCCTTCCCTCTCACCTCTTCCCTATCCATTAGCCCTATAAAAATGTCTACAGGGATTTAAAAGTGCTGCTTCCTCCCCTTAGAAACCTATTTGGCCACCCCACCTCCCCCAGTTCTCCCAGCAGGCCGTGGAGACTGACATCTAGGAAGAAGCAGAGGCCACATGGTGGGTTTTCTTGCAACCTCCACTCTTTCACCAAGCTTACTTCTTCACTGGTCTAGGTGTTCAAAGGTCCATTCATATACTAATGTGCCTCGTTACCAAAATTGTTTTAAAGGTTTTCTGTTCTTGTTATCAGTGTTTTTTAAGCATGGAGATTCTGTTCAATTCTGTTTGTTGGCACAAGTTTTGTGTCTTGAGTTTTCCCTTGTACTTTGATGTTGCCTGATTTTCCAGCATTGACCACATGATTCTTTCATACAGTGGGCAAAGATGTCTTTTGCCATTGGAATTCCAGAAAACTTACAGCCAATTTTCATTTCAAAAACCGAAGCACGCCTTAAAACACATTTGTGCACAAATGTGTGTGTGTGTGTAAACATGTTCAAAACAACCACATTTTAATATACAAAATCTGTCATCATGACGTGAGAAAGTTTTTTCTACCAAACTAACATGCTTCTGCCTTAACTATTGATATTTCCTGAAATTATTTGCCTTTGACTGTAATTGTAACTATTATCAGTGTTGCTGGTGACCAACAGCCATGTGAAAAATGTAAACTTTGTGTCAAAAGAGTAAATTACCATGTGTTGCCTTTTAAAGGTGATATCTTTATCAATGGAAGCAGTCAGCCACTCTATTCTCAGCCCCACTCCTAACCAGCTGTGATATAAGCCTAAAATCTAGAAAACTGCTCTGCTCCCCAGCCTGACTGTGGGTGGAGTCACAGGGAACGGCTTTGAGGCAGTTCTGAGATAACCTGGCTCCACAGGACAAAGTGGGAAAAAAGGGGGGACAGTTTTAAACTCAAACCTGATCAGATCTGGGTGTAAACAAATGTGTCTAAGTGACAATCCAAAACACAAATCAAGGAAAAACCACTATGGAGATTAGGAAATGTAAAGAAAGAGGAAAGTTAGCTGCTGGTGGCTCACGCCTGTAATCCTAGCTACTCAGGAGGCTGAGATCTGAAGATTATGGTTCAAAGCCCAGCCCAGGCAGGAAAGTCCGGGAGACTCTTATCTCCAATTAACCACCAGAAAACCGGAAGTGGTGCTGTAGCTCAAGTGGTAGAACGCTCATATTGAGCTGAAGAGCTGAGGGACAGCGCTCAGACCCAGAGTTCAAGCTTGCCTAGCATGCATGAGGCCCTAGGGGCTGGGAAGGTAGCTCAGCGGTAGAGCGCTTGCCTTGCATGCATGAGGCCCTGGGTTTGATTCCTCAGCACCACATAAGCAGGAAAAAAAAAGCCGGAAGTGGCACTGTGGCTCAAGTGGTAGAATGCTAGCTGAAGAGCTGAGGGAGGCTGAGATCTGGGGATCCGAGGTTCAAAGCCAGTGGGCAGGAAAGTCTGTGAGACTCTTATCTCCAATAAACCACAAGAAAACCAGAAGTGGCACAGTGGCTCAGGTGGTAGAGTGCAAGCCTTGAGCTGAAGAGCTGAGGGACAGTGCCCAGGCCCAGAGTTCAAGTCCTACAACTGACCAAAAAAAAAATTGGTTCCTTTGGATAAGAAAGGATTTGGGAAGCAGCAAATCCCAGAAGGTTTGAATAAGTTACAGATGTATGAGCATGTCTTAAATTCATAAGATAGAATTTATGAATCAAGTTGGTATGTAATTAAGTTGGCTGTGATTTAAATAAGGTCAAGAGCAATACACTGATATAAAACCAACATCTCATTCTTTATGTCCACCTATGAAAGTAATTGTTTATGCACTATTAGGTTTGTCAAATTTTTAAAAGCTGTTTCCCAAGAGTGTAAGCTGCCTTGGATACAAAGTTGACAATGGTTTCAATCTTAATTAGTATCTGAAAGTGCTATATTCAGGTAAAAATTAACTAGATTGTTTAATCAGTTGCTGTTTTAAACCTTTCTTGTCTACTGAGTTTATTATTACAAATTTTACCTCTGCAGAATTTACTCAGGCCTACTTAGGGATAAATAACTCTTCCAAGTATTTATTGGTCAAACTTAACTTCTATTCTTAACAAGCTGCAGGTAAACCCTGGAGCTTGTTTTAAAACAAAAACAAAAACACCTGTTTCCATTGATCTCTTTGTTGCTCCAATTGGAGTAAGGGGCTTTTGACAAAGGCTCATTTGATCTGAGGTCAAAGCCAGCCCAAGCAGAAAAATCCCTCTGGGACTCTTACCTCTAACCAGCAAAATGCTGCCAGTGGTGATGTGGCTCAAAGTGGTAGAGCACTAGCCTTGAGCAAAAGAGCTCAGGGACAGTGCCTATGCCCTGCGTTCAAGCCTCATGACTGATAAGATCTCAGCATGAAGCAGACATACCCAGGACAAAGCTTGTCCTGGTGACAAGGATCCACCCAAAGGCAGATACTAAGGGATGGTTTCAGATCCTAAATGGAATCATTTTGTGCTTGCCCTTTCAAAATTAACCACAGCCAGGAAGTCAAGAGAAAGATAACTAATAAGGATGCCTACCTAACATCCATACCTGTCTACCTTCTAACTGGACAGGAACTTACATTCTTGCCTTTGTTACCTGCTATTTTTTATTTATAGTGAGTCTTGGACTCAGGACAGTTTGCCTTGCTTGGTGCCTTCCTGGGTGCTATCCATCTCCACAATCCAGATATCTACCCAGGCCTTCCACCAGGCCCTTAACCACTCCAATCCAGCCCCAGCCCCTGACTGCTTACTCTAAACCAGTCCACCATGCTCTCCCCTACCCAGTTGCTAGAAAACCTAGACACCCTCTTCCTGCCCCCAATCCAGCTTTATGGAAATTCCTCCTTCCCTGTAATGGGAAACAACTGGGTTTGTACTCCTAATGGAATTTTTTCTGGTTTGTGACCAGGGTGCATTCTCCTGTGTCATTCATATCAACTGGTCCCCCCACCTTGTCAGCCTTTTGCCTGATCTTGACTCAATTCCAGGAACATCTCAATAGATGATAGGAATCACTCCAAAGGACGTCCTGGTGGGATTCCCTCCCACAATGGCTCCCTGGTTGACCTCTCTATGATGACCTTTAACAGTCATCCTCTTATTCTTCCTCTTAGACCCTGCTTTCTTAACCTTTTTCAAAAGTTTTTCTTTAACAGAATAATAACCCTCACTCAGGACACTACCTGGGAGCAAGTCATGGCCATCATATTACTGCAAGCAACCAGAAGCTTCGCTTACACCGCCCGGCCCCACCCAGCCACAGACTTGGACCCTGAAGACCCCAGCCCCTGTGACTCCTCGATGCTCCCAGGTCAGCAGGAAGTGGCCAGAGAAGGTCATGACATCCCTTAACTCTTTGTACCCTTCAGGGTTTCAAATGATGGCAATCTGCTTTGTTCTCATAACTCCATGTTGCCCCCATGGCCCACTCACCACCCTCAAGTCCAGCCTATTTCTTTTCCTTTTTCCTTTTTCTTCCATTTCCCTAACAATTATCTTAAAGAATTGAAGCCAGGAGAAGCTGGAAAAATGGCCCCTGCCTACTGTGTTTCTCCTCCGTGCCCCTTCCCTTGGAAGTCCCCGCCCAGCATCTGTAATGCAGGTAATCCTGGGGGCAGTGGGAGGTCCCCCACCCTCCGAGGTTACTTCCTCCTCGTCTGAGGTTACATCCACGGCTGTGGCCATACCTCCTCCCCCGCCCTCTCCCTATAGAATCAGTCTCCATGATTAGTTCCCCCTCTGCATACCTTCATCCGGTGTGGGTCAGCAGTTTGCTCTCCCCCAATAAACTCCTTTCTGCCTGAGCCATCTGGTGATCTCTTTTCACTGGGCACCAAGGAATGAGTGAAGGCTTAGAGCTGGCAGAGTGTGGCCTTCACCGTGTGCCTCAGTTCCTTAATACCAAGTATTCTGCCAGGCCACCAGCCCCTCAGCTGCCTTGATCAAACAGGAAGCTAGGGCCAGTCCATGTTAGGTAGCTGCCCCGGCTCTAGCCAAACCAATGCTGGAGCAGTACTGAGGACAGACACTGAGGACAGCACTGAGGACAGACACCACCTGTCCCTGGACGCTCAGCAGTGTCCTGAGGAAGAGCCAAGGGCAAGGCAGCTACCCAGACCCAGTGAAGGAATGAAGACTCCAAGGAGGAAGAGTAGGAACCAAAGCCCCGCTGTCTTATCTGCGCAGGTATCAAGTAGAGGTGGATGGAAAATTCCCAGGGTGGGCCAGGGTCCTAGTGGGCTCTGGGCACTGATGAGGAAGTAGGCAAACTTATTCCTTCCGGCCCTGCCTCCCTTCCCATATTCTTCAGGATCTGAGACACAGCTGCAGCCGAAGGCTCCTGGTCTCAGCAGAGGGAGCACTTACCTAAGTCAGCTGGAGACTAAGACCAGGAGACTGGAGAAAAAGACTGAAAGGATTCTCTGGAAGTTTCTACCTACTGAGTCACCTCAGGCAGGGCAGCATAAAAGATCCCTCAGGCCCCAGGAAGTTCTGTCCTGCCCCTGAGAGGAAGCTCCCTGGCAGGCTGGGGGAGACATCTCAGGTAGCTCTGGACTCCCTTTTCTCAGCCTCTGATTTGGGGTGTGGCATCAGAGACTCCTGCTCTTGCTGAGGGCCCATGTGGACTGCCCAGTCCCACCAATGCTAACCAGCTAAGCTCCCCGGCAGGTCTCCACTGGGCAAATCAGCTCTTGGGCTCCAAGAGGCTCTGCTCTTACAGGGTGATGCGCCTACCCCCCCCCCGCCCTTTACTCCTGGCATCCAATAGCAAGCTGGACAGTGGGGAAGCCAGACACAGAAGCAAAAAGGCAACATATTGGATTCTGAATTTTCTCTTTTTAATAAAAAGGCACCTATAAAACAGGTCAATACAGTACAGGCAGCACAGAGACCCCCGGAACAAGCCTAAAAATTGTTTCAAAATAAAAACGAAGATGTCTTCACATATTGTATTTATATATTTATATTTATATATATATATTTATATAATGGTACAAAATGGCGAGGGGCATGGCCATGGATGGAGGGAAGAAGGCTGGCCTGTGGAGTTTCCCTTGGGAGCTAGTGGTAGGAGAAGAGGACGCCAGGAGGGCCTCTGTGGTCTGAGGCCTCTCTTCGGGGCAGGAAACAGAGCAGGACAGTTTGGGCAGTTGTAGGACAGGGGTGAGGGCCCAGGTCGAGGCAGGACACGACAGAGTGCCTGCCAGGAGGGAGGGCAGGACCCCCCCACCACACAGAGGCCCTGGCCATGGCCTCTGGGAGGTATTAGGGAGTCAGGAGCCTGCAGCTAGTCCTGGAGAAGGAAGTGGCATGTGACCTGGCTGATGGTGGACCAAGAGGACAGCACCAACTGGGAGAAGTGGGCACTAATTCCCTTTGTATTACAGCTGCCAAGGTGAGCCCAGACCCTGCGGGCAGGTCAGGAAGGCTGGGACGGGCCCTGGGAGAGGACGCTGTCTAGAATGGCCCTTGGCCCTAGAGGCAGGGCAGCAAAGACCCCAGCCCGATATCGGCCCTGCCACCTCACAAGGCAGGGAAGGAAGCAAAAGGTCTTTACTCCTGGGGTCAAGTGGGGCAAAACGCCCAGTCATGTATGGCTTCGGCTCTGACCAGTGGCGGGCTGGGAAGAAACAGGGAGAGGACTAAGGAGGAGGCAGTGGCTGCGCCTGGGTGGGTGTCGAGACAGGTCTGGTACATGGCCCTGAGCCCTGGGCAGAAGGATTTGCCAAGGAGTAGACAGGCAGAGGCAGAGGGGTGCTCTCTAGTTCCCCTTCACATACACATACACACACGCGCACACATACACACACACACACACACTTCTGCAACTCAGTCCTTGGGGGTGGAGACTAGAAAGGGAGGAGGCAGACTGACTCAGCCAAACCCTGCTCCTCTTTGGTGGTTTCTGGGAGAGTTGGGACCCTGGGGGTTCAGTGGCCCAGAGCTCCTGCAGCATCATGCCACCCCCTCTGATGGCTCCACTCAAGGGGGCCACACAGTCGCTGCCCCTTCCTCCTTCCCTTCACCCCAGACTGGGGACAAAGGGCTTCAAGTTCCGGCTAAGATGTAGCAGCAGGGGCACCCAGACACCCACGACGGGAGGTGGGGCCCCTTGTCACTCCGCCCTGGAGCCTCAGCCCGGCTGCAGCTCACCAGCAGGTGGTCTGACCTCATTCAGGTGTGGGGCAGATCCTCTCTCCTTTCCGGGGTGGATGTGTAGGACGGTGTCTCTGGGTCCAAGGGAATGGAAGGGGCAACTATTTGCAAAGGGGGGAAGGGTTTCCTTTACCCTTCTTTTTTTTTTGGGGGGGGTGACTTCTATAAAACACAGAAATACAGCACACGCACAAACCGGCACAAAAGCTCAGTGCTCTATTTACAGCTCCGGCTGGCACCTGCCCACCCGGCCAGCCGCCTGCAGGGGTGAGTGAGGGGATGGTGGAAGGAAAAGACAGAAGGCAAAAACAAACAGGTAAGAGCAGAGTAAGGTGGGGGGGGGGGAGTGGAGCTGAAGCAATGAGGAGATAGCAGACAAAGGGACTGAGGGAGAAGAGACCCTTCCTCTCCTCCTCTCCCCCAAGGACCGGAAGCATAGCTGAAAGGCTGGGAGGTGAGAGAGAACCGAGGACAGAGGGAATACAGATTCCATAGGAACTGGAGGGGTGGAGGAGGGGCTGTCCTGGTGGCCAAAATGAAGGAACAAATCCCAATCCCCAACCCCTCTCCCCCCCACCACTCCGCCACTTCCTCTAAGCTGCCAGCACATCTGATTTCCACAAATGCCACTCCCCCACACGAGGCCCCGCCCACCCAACCCCACCCCCGGACGCAGACCATCCCACACAGGAGGGAAGAGACTCGGAAGGTTAGCATCTTTGCAGTGTTGCCCAGCTCCGGCCCCGCACGGGGACCACTAGAAGGGCAGGTTGGCCATGCCGCCGGGCGCAGGGAGGTAGCCCATCTGGCTGTCCAGAGACACACTGCGCTGCCGCAGGGGGTGAGACACCATGAGGTTCTGCTGGGGCGGGGGGCCCATGAGCGAGCCCTGCGGGGAGAGCATGTGGGGGGGCTGGCCGTAGACCTCGCCCCCCACCCCCCGCTGCTTCATCAGCATGAAATTCTGCTGGGTCATGAGGCCTTGTGGTGGGGACATGACCCCCTGGTGCAGGCCGTGGGGTACCATGCCCTGCTGTGGGGGCACACCTGTCCTGCCCAGCAAGGACATCTGTCCGGGGTGGCACATGGACATGTTGAGCCCCCGCTGGACTCCCTGCTGGCCCGGGAGGTTGGGGGGCCGAGAGGGGGTCTGCTCCGCCATCATGTTCTGCAGGTTCATGAGATGCAGATTGGGGGGCTGGGCCTTGGGAGGCTGGTTCTCGCTCTTGGGGAAGTACTGAAGGGTGCTGCTTGGCTTCTCAGAGGGGATGATCCTCGACAAGTCGAACTCAGGGATCCCCGTCGGGGTGGGCCGGATCACCTCGCTCAGCTCGGGGTCGTTCAGCACTGATGCCACCCCAGGGAGCACCCCCGGCGGGTAGCTGTCGCCCATGCGCCCAGCCATGCCTTTGCCCAGCAGGTGCTGCTGCGGGGGCATGGGGCCTGGCGGCTGGCTGGGCAGGTCCTCGGGGGGCAGAGGCATGCCTGAGGGGTAGTGCTGCTGCAGGCCGGGCCCCCCACCCGTGCCCCCCGTGGGGGCCATGGCACCATGGGGCTGCTGCAGCCGAGGAGGGAAGGGCATCATCTGGGAGGAGCTGGGCACGGGCCCACAGGGAGCATTCAGGGAGTCTGGGCCTGCTGGGGCCATCATCATGGAGTTTTGAGGGGGGCCCCCTGTCCCCTGTGCATTGGGGTGCAGTGGAATGTTGGAGCCCAGAGGGGTGGGAGAGGGTAACATGGCGGGTGGGGGCTCGTGGGACAGGGGCTGCTGGCCTGGTAGGTTCAAGCCCATGGGGCTCTGGGCAGCAGTGGAGTTCAGGTGCATCTGGCTGGGCTGGTTGTTGCTGAGGCCTGCGGGGAGGGAGAGAGGACAAGGTATTAGGAACCGTTTGCACCCAGCTGGGGGAGGAGGTGCAGATCCCTGTCGGGCCCCACTGCCCAGCCAAGTGGTACAGAGCTGGAATTTTCACCACTGGTGTCCCTGGCCGTGAGAAAGGTTCTAGAAGTGATTAAGCTAGACGCTAAGAGCCCAAGTTCTGCACCCCCCCACCCCCACCCCCCCTTTTTTTTTCCTGCTGTAGGTCTTGGGACTTGAACTCAGAGCCTGGGCGCTGTCCCTGAGCTTTTGTGCTCAAGGCTATCGCTTGAGCCACAGCTCCACTTAGGACATTTTGGTGGTTAACTGGAGATAAGGGTCTCACAGACTTTTCTGGCTTTGAACCATGATCCTAAGATCCTGAGTAGCTAGGATTACAGGTGTGAGCCACAGGTGCCCAGCTCACGCTGAGACCAGTCAAGTGCTCTGGGATGGGCTCCGCGAGATGCCTGCTGAGGGTGGGGTGGGTCCCCCAGACCTCACACCACCATGCCCAGGGTCTCTCTTCCCATTTCCAGGGCCCCCTTCCTGGCCCCGCACCTGGCCCGGAGCCCTGCGGTGGCGGTGGCGGGGGTAGCAGGGGCCGATCGGGAAGCAGCTCGTCGTCTGAGGTGGCAATGGTCTTGATGGCATTGTGGTAGAGCGGGGTGGAGCTGGGCATGGCGTACTTGGACATCTGGGACATCATCAGGGACAGGGGGTTCTGGGAAGGGGTGGGGTCTGGGGAGGAAGTGAACGGTAGGCTGGGGTTCATGAGGCCGCTGGGAGGGTTGGCAGGAGGCGCTGAGGAGCTGCTCCGGGGGCCGCTGGGCGGGAGAGTACCTACAGAAGCGGGGAGACAGAAACAGCAGGGGGTGACTGGGGAGGGGCTGAATTTGGCTGCTCGGATAGGGGTGGGGGCGGAGGGGACTGGGGAAGAGGTCAGTTCCCAAAGTCTGTACCTGACTCCTTCGGACATCCCCGCATTTCACTGAACACCAAACCCAAGTGAACCGCGGCCCACCCATTCTCCCAGTGATTCGGGCGGGGCCGCGAGGCTGCATTTCCCAAGTGTGACCCCTCAAAATGCTGAGAAGGCACACGTGCTCCCCCCACCCACCCAGGAAAGCCCAACACAAATGTCCCCACCCGCCCCAGCCGCTGCAGAGACCAACCCAGTCCAGACCCCGCTGACTCACCCTGCTCCATGCTGCCCAAGGTGGAAGAAGAGTTCATGGGGAGAGGCGGCTGCTTATTCTGGGGGACTCCGGGGCTGGGCATGGCTGTCTTGGGTGAGGCCACCCAGCCCGGAGAAGGCACCGCCATGGAAGGAGACTTGAGCCTGCTGGGTGAGCCGGTGGGCGAACGCACACTGAGCGAGGAGCTGAGGACCTGGGGCGACTTGAGAGGTCCCGGAGGATTGGCGGAAGGCAGGGGTACCATCTGCGAGGGAGTCTGGGGTGACTTGAGGTTGGCGGAAGGTGAGGTGACCAGGGGTGAGTGCACCTGGCTAAGCGTGGGTGACTTCAGATGCCCCATGCCCGGCGAGCCCATCTGGTTAATACTGATGGTCAGGTCTGAAGGCCTTCGGCCGAGGCCCCGGCTGGGCGCAGGATGTACAGGGCCAGGAGGGGCATTAGACACGGGGGGAAGAGGCATGTGGCTGAGCCGGGTGGTGCCCACAGTACCCATGGGCACTGAGCTCTGGTCAGGGCTGAACAAGTCTTGGGTGTTGCCCATGTCCTGAGGCATGGCTTGGTAGGGTCCCTGGCCCCCAGAGAAGCCCTGCTGGCCCTGGTTGGGAAACTGCGAAGGCATGAGCATCTTCTGCGGGCCGCCCATCATGCCGCTGTTGTTCTGGGCTCGCACCCGGGCCATCTCCTCAGGACTGAGGCCCTGGGGTCCCATCATGTCCCCGGGGCCCCGCATCTTCTGTGACATGAGCATCTGCTGTTGTGGGGTCATCTGCACGTTCAGGTTCATGTTCATGTTCATGTTCACGTTCATGTTCATGTTGAGGTTGCCCGGCCCCATGGGCGGGTCCACCTCCCTCAGCCCAGTCTGTCCCATCGGGGGGCTCAGGAGGCCCCGGCCTCCGGCAAACTCCATGCCCATTGGAGTGCCCGCCAGGCCCTCGCCACCAGCCATCTGCCCGGGGAACATGGCGGGGTCCATCTGCCGGTGCGCCTGCATCATCCGCTCCATCTCCATGCTCTGCGCCATGCCGCCGCCCGCCATGCCCAGGGGCCGCTGCATGCCCATCGACCGCTTCTCCAGCAACTGGTGGCGCAGCAGCTCCTCCCGCACCCGGGGGGTCATGAACCTCTCCGAGTCACCCTGCCCACCTGGGTAGGACACCGCGTTCTGGGCAAAATTGCCAGGTCCCCCCATAGGGGGCAAGTCTTCAGTCCAACCCATGCCCGGCCTCACAGGCCTCTGCATGGCATTCATGGGCACCTCCATGGGCAGACTCTGCATGCCCCCGAACCCGGGCATCCGTTGCATCTGGCTGCCTGGGAAGCGAGGGCTAGGGAAGGAAGGTCCACCGCGGAGCTGCATGGGGTCCTGGGCATCCATGGGTCCCCGCAGCTGCGTGCCCATCCCAGGGGGCCACTGATCCCCGGGCTTGCTGTGGTAGGGAGGCGGGGGCCCCCTCACCATCATGCCCCCCATGCCCATCATGTCCTGCAGGGGGCGGCCGCCGTGCAGCCCGATCTGCTCTTCCTTCCGCCGCTTCTCCTCGTAGTATTCCTCCTGAAGCTTGCGCCAGGCCACCTGCTCGGGCGTCAGGCTGTCCTGGCCCAGTCTCTGCATCATCATGTTCATCTGCTGCCCCATGTCCCCCCCCGGGGGGTGCCCGGGCACTTCATGCTCCAGCGGGGGGCCCCCCAGGCTCTGTGTCTGTGAAATCATGGACTGCAAGGGCTCTTCGTACTTCTTCAGCCCACTGGGAGGGCCGGAGGGCGGCGGCTGGGGGACTGGGGGGGCTTGTGCTGGGGGCCCCCCCTCGCCGCCGCCTCCTCCCGGGGGCCCCTTGAGGAAGGGCTCTGCCTCTCCGCTCCGGAGCAGCAGCCGCTCGATGTCTCGCAAGGTCTGGAGGGAGCGCTCGCGATGCTCCAGCTGCTCCTTGGACAGACCCTCGGAGCCAGCCAGGCTGCGCTGCCCGTTTCCGGTGGGAGTGGCTTCCCCCAGCAGGGCTGGGCCCGGGGCACCGCTGGGGTCTCCTCCAGGAGGCAGAGGGTTGGCGGCGGTGGCAGCTGTCGGGGTATTGGGATGGGTGCCCCCGGTCCCGCCGCCTGTGCTGGCAGCACCCACCGAGTTGGGGGCCAGGTCCTGGCTGGTGTCTTCGGGGGGCCCCTCTGGAGGCAGAGCCGGGGGGGCGCTGCCAGGGGCCGGGGGAGGCGGCAGGGCGGGCGGCTGGGACTGTGGGGTGCCTGCTGACGGCGTGCTCAAGGGTAGCGGTTCTGGGGTGGGTGGCACTTTGGGGGCCTGCAGGAGGACCAAGGCAGGGTGTGAGACAGGAAAGGGGGCATCCCCACCCATCTCCGGGGCAAGCTGGGGACCACACTCACCTGGTCCAGCTTGGCCCGGGGCACATTCTGCTGGTGGTAGGCCAGGATGGAGTCTGCGCGGCCCTGGAACACGGCCTCCGCAGCCCTGAGGAGGTGTTGGCCGCAGACCGCTCAGGAGAAGAAGTAAGCAGACGGGAGCCCACCCGCACTCCCCCCCCCCACGAGCTCCCTGGAGACCCCAGACCAAGGGTGCAGGGCAGCCCTCCTCCCCCAAGGCACTTACGTGTTGGCCAGGTGGGTGGTGAAGACGTACACGAACTGGGACGGAGGCTTTCCGGGCACATTCCCGCCGCCACCCCCGCCTCCCGGGGCATCTGTGCGTAGGCCTGCTGGGGGCCCGTGAGGGGGGCCCGGAGCGCTGCTCTCACTGAGGGGCAGTTGGGCAGTTTGGCCAGGACCCAGCTGTGGGGCCGCCATAGCTGGGTCTGCTACATTACAATCTGCAGAAGAAGTGAGGGAATGTGCATGAAAGGCCCAGATGCTTGGCAGAAGAACCAGCCGGTACCCCCAAACGCACCCCACCCCCCTGCCCCCACCCTAGGGTGCTCCTACCTTACAACACACCCAGCAGGGTGATTTATTGTCACACCACTGGCTTCTACCCTGGCCTGCCCTAGAGCAGTCTATGCCCACGAAGGCAACAGTGTGGCAGGAGGGGCAGGGGAAGTGTTGCCTGGCACTCCGCTCGATACTTACGGGTGTGATTTTCACGTCACCAGCACATTCCGGGGAGGAAGGCATCACACTCCAGTTTACAGAGGAGGAAATGAGCCTGGCAGGGATGCAGTAACTCACCTAAGCTCATTCACCCAGCTAGGACCAGCAAGGCCCGAACTGGAACCCGAAGCCCTACTTAGCTCTGTTCTGCCCCATTCAGTGTGGTCCGTGTGCTGTGTGTGTGTGTGTGCTGTGTGTGTGTGTGTGTGTGTCCACTGACCATATCTGTGTGTGTGTGTGTGTGTGTGTGTGTGTCCACTGACCATAGCTGTTCGTCTACAAAATAGAAACACCAGCCCCTGCCTTGCAGAGGACAAGTCAAAGAAATATGATCAACTCTGTCACAAAGAAAGAAATCAATCTGAATAATAGAATTAGAAAAGCAGTGTAGTAGCTGGAGCACTGAAGGCTCATACTTGTAATCCTAGCAACTCAGAAGGCTGAGATCTGAGAGTTGTGTTTAGAAACCAGTCTGGGCAGGAAGGTCTGAGACTTGTATCTCCAAGAGTCAGAAGAGTCAGAAGCGGAGTGGTGGATCAAGTGTTAAGAGTGGCAGGCTTGGGTGAAAATTTAAGGAACAGCACTCAGGACCTTAGTTCAAGTCCAGTACCAGCACACATATGTGCATACACATGAAATTAAAAAGAAAAAAATCTTCCCTCTGACCTCATAGTTCCACAGATAATCAGTAAGACAATTTCCTTACAGTCCAGGCTCACATCCCAGGAACAGTCAGAAGAGACCAGCTACCTTGAGCACCAAGAAAACTTTTGCTCCCGGGGTTATAAACTTGATTCTCACTCAGTCCTACCTTAGAAAAGTTCCAAACTGGTCACTGATGACTCAAGAGGCCAGAGCCATTCTCATGCCAAGAAAAACTAATCGAAGGGCCTGGCCTGCGGACAGTAGGGGACAGTCCCGCCTGAAGCCTCCTGGGGGCCAGGGCCGCATACCACCTTCCCCAGGCCCAGCATCAGGCTCCCCCCGATACACCCCATCATAACCCTGCTCTGGACCCTGTCTCTGGACTTTTGCATAGGAGAGCAAAGCCAGAAGTCTGCGGAGACTTGAGAGCTGGCCTTAATACATAAAGACTGTCCTGAAGAGGAAAGTGTAAACTTAGAACACGCATAAGACAAGCTATGGTGAGGGTTTATTTCACAAAGGAACTTTCTAGAACCATGATAATCATACAAGCTGATAATGTTCTAAGTGTGTTACATGGATCAACTCATACCTTATACCGACTTTATGAGGTACATGATTTTTATGGATGACGAAACTGAGGTCTTTTCCCATATTTGCAGATAGCAAGTGCACTCTTGGAATACAAACCAAGTCTGACCTCTGAGCCTAAGCTATTAACACCTACATTAATTTGCCCCTCCATTAAGGAAGGATTCAAGAGGCCAAGTATTAGTGGCTCATGACTATATAATCCTAGCTACTCAGCAAGATTAGACATGAGGATCACAGTTCAAGTGGCAGAGCACCTTTATAACAAACATGATGCCATGCTTTAAAAAAAGAAGGAAAGAAATCTTTAAAAACGGAATGCCAGCACACTTACAATCCTAACTATTCAGAAGGCTAAGACCTGGAGAATCAGGATTCCAGGCCAGCCAGGGCAGAAAAGTCTTCAAAACTCTATATCCAATTAACCAGCAAAATGCCAGAATGTAAGTGTGGCTCAAGTGTGTAGAGTTCCAGCTCCAAGCAGGAAAAGCTGATGGACAAGGCCTTGAGTTCAAGACCTTGGTAACAGGAAGAAAGAGGAAGGAAGAGAGGGAGGGGAGGGAGGGAGGAAGGAAGGAAGGAGGGAAGGGAGGAAGAAATGAAGGAGGGAAGGAAGAGAGGGAAACCAAGCAAGCAGTATACCTGACACATTCCAAGTATTGGGCATGGAATCTTCGCAATTTCTCTTTTAATCTCCCTATGCCTTTCAAAATTTCTACAGCGATGCAGTCTAATGTTACAGACGTGAACTAAGGATGGCGCTATCCCTGAAGTGTTCAGCCGAAGACTATGGGCCACCAGTCAGTCCCCTGGGAGCAGGAGCAGACCTAGGATGACATGGCTTTTCACGTACCAGCCAGCTGTTCAGGCTTCTAATATTGGCCCCTGTACAGCATGGTGCACTCGCTCCACATGCTGTTTCCACTTCTGTAAGGGTTGCATCTGGTTCTGCTCATGGGAGGTCCAGATATATGCTGATCAATTAAAGAGTAAGAGGAGTGTGCATCCACTCCTCGTCCTGGTGACATACACTGGGCACATGCCAGGGTCATCAGAGGTTAGAGAAGGGCACCGCAGTGAATCACATGTCTCTCACATGCAGGCTTAGCGTGGCTTTGAATAGCAGAGCCAACTGTCCTGCTCCCAGGGAGGGTGGCCCTTTCCTGCCCTTCCTCTACTGACCAGTAGGTGGCAGCATAGGCCAGCCGTTCATGGTAGAGGTATAGGTGAGATGGCCAGGAAGGAACCCCAATCCACCAGAGTCCTCAGGAAGAAGGGGCTGTTGAGCATCCAGAAGACAAGGGCTGGGCTGTCTGTCAGTCCAGGGAAGGACTGAGTCTGAGAGGTGGGATGGGAGATCAGGAGCCTGAGCTTGGTCTTGGCTACGACTCGCAACTCTGTCCTCATAAAGACCCAGGTGGGAGAGAGGCTCCCTCAGGGCAGCCATGGAATCCTGGGAATCCCGACATCGAGAGTACTCACTGTGGGTGGCCCCGATGGGCTTGTCATCCTCCTCACTGTCGGGGCCAGAGCACCATTCGTCCCCGCTGTACGGCTGCTTGCGCTCCAGCACACACCGCCGCTTACTCCGAGGCGCCACCTCTGCCCAGGACGATGCAGACCAGAAAAGGAGTGAGTGCCCAAGAACGCCCACTCCTCCCATATCCAGAGTCCCAGAGCCATTCTCTGGGCCGCCTCGCTCCCGAGGGCACTGCCCAGGCCATGGTGGGCACTTTGCCAGTCCCTGGCCCCCACCACACCACCATTTGTTTCTGATTTCTCTCTCCAGCCCCGGTTGCCTGTTTCCCCTCCCCCCCCCATACCAAGCACAGCATAATCCCCAACCACAACTGGTTCTAATTAGCGAGGGGAGGGGAAGGGAGGGAAGGGGAGAGGAGATGAGGGAAGGCCTCTGCAACTCTTCCAGGCCTCAAAGCCTGTTCCCTGAAAGGCTCCTACCAGCCAGGAGGATAGCAGGAGGCTCTGAGGAGGTGTGCAGGTCTGCTCCTCCCTCTCCCCTCAGGCTGCAGTGGGGATACAGGGGTGCAATGGGGACCAGCCCTGCCCCTAGGCAGCACCCTGGTCAAGCCCCATCCTGAACCACCTGGTTGGCCGACAGGGTGGGGGTGAGAGAAAGGTGTTCCGGGGAGAACCAGGGGAGAAGAACCAGGGACCAGAAGAGGCATGGCCTCCCGGACAGTTTGGGTCTGGGGCTGTGGATGATGTGAAGATCTTTGGGGCTCAGGAACTGGGGTACCTTTAGCCTCCGAATCCAAAGATGGGGTCCCAGCCTCCCGCTGCTCTCCAGAGTCCACCGACACGCTACGCTCCCGCTTCACCTTGCCCTTGAGTGAGCTGAAGGGGGGTACCCCTGCCTGGGGGTTCTTCAGACTTGAGTTGCTAGGTGAGATCTGGTTGGCCTTGGCCCCATGGCTCCCTGCCCCCACGCCCTTGGAGCCCAGGTTGCAGGTGGGTCCTTGGTTCACATTCTGGTGCTGTGATTGGGCCCCGCCATTCCCTGTCTTGCCATGATTGGTCAACTTATTTTCTGGGTGCATTGGTTTGGCTGGGGCAGGGGGGCAGTGGCCGCGGGGGGACAGCGGCGGGCTCCCTGGAGCTTCTCTCCTCCTGGGGTGGGGTAACCTGGGAGAAGGTAGGAAAGACACAAAAGGTTAGCCTCACTGGGGCCAGGCTTCCCGGACTTGGAGCTGTCCCATCCTGCCTGGTGGGAGGGGAGGCTGAGTGCCACCTCAAGACCACCTGCTACCCCCCATCTCCATCCATAGCTCTTTAACAACAAGCCGATGGACCCCGTCCACCTGGGCAATCTCTTCCCATCTATACCCTTTCCCAACTCAAGTGAAAACCAGGATCTTCTGGGTTGGCAGAATCTGCTCCCCCTTTCCCCCCCACCCTAATACCCATCAGACTGCACATTGCCCTGGCAACACCTGACCCATCCTTTGCCCCTCCCCCCCCTCTAGGGTTTGCTGTCTTCCAACTCCTTTCAAGGTCCCAAATCTCAACTCTCCTCTGGTGTCCCAACACCAGAAAGGGGAGGGCTACAGACCTATGAGTCACCCAGTTCAGGTCCCAGCCCTATTCCCCAGGGGAGGGGGGGGTGGGAAAAGCACTCGGGAGAGTGGTACCCTCCAGCCCCGACGGCTCTGAGAACCGGAGGGGAAGGCCTGAAGAGGGTGGGCCGGCAGGCTGGAGCTGGAGGAGGGGGGGAGGGGAGTGGCATGTCAAGCAGACACGATTGCAACTAGAAGCCAAGGATTCCTGCAGCCTGGGCTGCGGGCCCTTTAAGCTCCAGCCCGCTCCCCCCACCGCCTCCCCCTCCCCGGAGACCTATTAATAGCCGCTGGAAAGATCACATCACGGGAGAGGATATTTATCCCCCCTCATTCCACACCAGCTCAGATTTATTTCAGCTCTGCTGTCCTGCTGCTGCCGCCTGGCCCTGTCTGCCCGCTTCTTCTGGGGAGGCGGAGAGAGGCAGGCACCACCCGCTCTCCACCTCCCGCCCCTACGCTGGCACTGAGGCCAGAGGGGCCCAGCGGACCCCACCCCAGGGGCAGCCGGGGTCTGCGATCAGGCTGTAACGGTTTTTGGAGGGAAGAGCTAGAAGGAACCCAAACGCAGGCATGGCCGGCTGTCAGTCCTCTCTGCCCCAGGGCCCCGGCGCTAAGGCTGGGGTGCAGATCCTGCCCGAGCGAGGCCAGGCCTTCCCAGGCTGCCCCCGCCCCCCCCCGTGGCCTGGGAGCCCCCTCTCCACGCCAGCACAGGCCAGCCCTGGCACGAGGCCCCCCGGCCCGCGCTCCACACACCCCGCCCTCCAGTCACCCACACACCTTGTCTTGTTAGCCAGGATCCTCATGGCTCCCAAACACAGTGGGACCACGGCCCCTGTGCGTGCCCGGGGCCCAGCCAGGTGCTCGGTACTGGAGCTCGGACTGCAGCAACAAGCCCCAAAGAGAAAACTTGTGACTTGGGGAGAGGGGGAGCAGGGCGGGAGGACAGAAGGGAGGACCCGACAGGCCTGCGACTAACGAGCGGGCGAGGGCAGGGGGGGAGTGGGAAGGGTAGGCTACCAGCCGGGGTCGCGTTCCTGGAGGTCAGTCGGGTCCCCATCCCTCCCCCACCTTGCCCTCGGGGGTGGGGGGCTGGCGGTCCCGGGCCAGCAGACCTCCCCGCTGGGTTAAGGGGGCGAAGGTGGCCGCGTGGGGCGGCCCGGGCCCCCGGGGACTCCCCGCGGCCGGACACGCCC